CAAAGAAAAAAATCTGTGATCCACTGGATACCAGCCTTTCTATTTATTTCATTTAGCTTTATAATATGCATGGTTTTCTTTTACCTATATAAGGTGAAGATAAAAAGTGACTTTTTTCCACAGAGTAAAATAACTTCCTCATATCATTTATTGAATAATTTCACATGTTCCCAGTGAATTGTGTACTTATCATATAATTAACTTCACTGGATTTTTGTAAGTTCTATTATCAATTATAGCCATTCATTACTTTTGTTTCATTTTTATTTATATGTTTGTTTGTTTTGTGCTGAGTAGGAAATCAAGAGTCTCGTGCACATTCAGCAAGTGTGTTACCACTAAGTTCCATTTTTAGCCACTTGTTACTTAATAGGGTGTCTTTCAACTTCTTGATATAAATCATACCTTTAGAAAATAATAGTCACTTCTCTTCCATATCAAATCACACTTGTTATTTTGGGTTTTACATCCATTGTCATTTTATAGATCTATTTATAGATCTTTTCTTCTTAGATCTATTTATAGATATATTATGGATCTATTTATAGATCTTTTCTTCTTAATTTTTACAGAAGAAAGAGTGCAGATGTGTGACATGCATGAAAGTGGTATAGCCTCAACCTGGCCTCTTCATTGATAAGAATTCCATCAGTGAGAGGAGAGGTCAGGTATCACCCTAGCAACACAAACCATCCCTAGGCAACATCATGCAGACATCACCATAGACAAATACTAACTATAAATTCAGAAAGCCAGTTTTTTGTTAAACTAGATACATTTCCAGGGCTCACCAGCCAGTCACTGCCACTAGTGGCTCTCATACTGAAAGATACACGAAGAACATTTCTATCATCAGACAGTTGTGGGCTACTCTTCCGAAGCAGTCTCCACCAACCACAGAGCAGTGGGCAGCAATCCCCTCCCCATTCCATCCTTTCATCTCACATCATTCTACAATCCAGCTTTACTATTGGGAGCATTATTTAAAATGCTAAATTCCAAACTATTTTTTTCTGACACGCTTTCCTAAGCTCAATGTTGTCTTCTGCATTTGACTTGACTCACCTTCTTTCTGTCCTGATACACTATTTTTGGAAATCACATACCTTCCCTTGGCTACATGTATCGAAATGCTACTTGTCCCATTGTGTATATCAACTGTCATCTTTTTCCTGAGAGATTTCATGCAGAATTATATTTTGTCTCCACCAAATGAACATTTATATATGAGTTTACTTTCACGATCTCAAACTTACTGAAAAATCAAGTGTTCTTCACTAACTTTTTCTTTCTCCCTATCCCAATTAATGTATTTAATGCTTTATTTAGTCATTACATTCCAAAGAATGATGAAACCACTTGTGCTTTTCATATAGCTCAGGGAATCCTCACATCTGGGATTGGAGTAAACACAAAGGGGGTCTACAGGGCTCATGAACTAGAACACTAGAACTAGAACGAGGAATGGCTTCCAGGTTGAAAGGTAAAGATTGACCAGGATGAGGAACTAGACAAAATAGCACATTAAGGGCAAAATCCTCTCTTTTCTGTTCAAAGCTCATAGAAATAGCTGACCCTTACTAAACAAAGTACTTAACTTGGTGAAAATTCCCAACCCATCTACCACCATCTGTTAGTTTTCAGAATCAGTTCAGTTCTCCGAGATTTCCTGGCTAGACATTCTCAAGTCAAGAGCATCATTGAGGATACCTTCAGCCATACTTGGGCTGATCAAGAGATCATCCTAATAAGAGAAGGGGATACTCTCATACTCTTACAGTTTATATTCAGATGCCCTCCAAAAGCCTAATGCGCTCATAAAAGGGGCTGTTGCGGGGGGTGACTGGATCATGAGTGTGTAATGCTGGATCATGGATGTGTGATATTGGATTAGTCCACAGATGAGTTATAGCTGAGTGAGATGTTGACAGATTAAGCCTGATGTAAAGAGATGGGTCACAAGTAATAAGCAGCAAGTAACTAAGACACTTACCGAGCAAAGGACTAAGAGACAAGTTATGTAAGTGTCTGGGATCTTGGAAAAAGACACAACTACTCAGCTTCTGGATTTTTATATTGAGTAGCTGATCTTCTTGTTTCCTCTCTATACTAATAATTTATTGAGGTCCATGTTATTGTATCATTTGTTTCTATAGTCTCATTGCCTGACATGTTACAAAAACATACATAAAGGAATCTATCACCTCCTGTCACTATCCCTATAAAATTACCTTCATAGTTTCATAATCAATATTGTCCCTTCCATCCTTAAATCCAAAATGACTCTATGAGATTATTTAAATTGTTTATCAAGGCAAACTAGAGTGCATGTAACTAGCCTAAAAATATAAAACAACACATTTTGAGGTAGCCTATTGGGTCCCTGTGCTGAGGCCTTTAGCAAATTTCTTATATTTGTCTCCTGCTGTCCCTAATCTTATTCTGAGAGTCTAAATTATCTCATCATCCCTATACATGATACTACCCCACTAACACTCAAGAATTCATGTCATATATTAGTGATAAAAATCTGCCTATGTGAGTTTACATTCAAAGAAAGCTTGAAAAAACTGCTTTCCGTGATATCAGACCATTATTATTTCTGCGATACATCCTGCTCCTGGCAGGCTTCCTTACCTTTGCTCTGTACTCATCCCGCTACCACAAGAACTGTCTATCTTTTGGAATATAGATCAAATGTTTTATCATCTCCATCATTAAAATTAGTCTAAATTTATTTCACAAAAGAACAAATTATCATGGTCAAAAGAATGTTTGTTGTTTCCTGCATTTTTCTCCAATCATATACCTTACTCTGTTTTGGTTTTTTTTTTTTTCCCAGATTATCACATGTAAAACTAAATGAGCTCTTGCTGTACTTTCAAAAGCAAAAACAAAAAGAGATGGTTTGTCCACTGGACGCTAAATTATCGAATGTTATTGGTTACTGAATCATTGTGTTTTGTGAAACCAGATATTACCAATATGTGCATATATATGTGTCTGAGTGTATAAAATATGCCACCTATGTAAATGAGCGTATTTCACGGATATGTAATTAAATTGTGATTTAAATTATCTGGACTACAGTTTAATTTCATATCATGAATGGTTGGGAATTACTCCAACCAGTAATTAATACTTCTTTTTCTTATCAGTTCATCCCCTTTTATTTTTTAAAGCATGATATCCTGGTATACTTTTAAATGGTACAGAATTGGAAAATTTCATAGTATCTCCATGCACACTTCTGCAATAATTCAATTTGTTTCTTCATGGTGACAAATTTCTTATACTGACTATATGTCCTTTCCTCACTTATTGTGCTTTCCTCACATCCACTTTCATTCACATCACCTCTTTTCAATTCTTTCTATGGTTTTGCTTTCAGTTCTTTTATTCAAAGCAGGAGAGCTGGCATTCCCTTTGTCTTCTTGTGTGTCTATGCATATATTTCAAAATGAATAGATATAAAAATACAGATTTAATTGCAGTTTTCTAAATAAATATTGACATGCATACTTAATGTATTCAAAATTATTATAAGCATTACAAAAATAATGTTCACTTCATAACAGTGTGGTAGTTTTAAAGAATAAAGACTATACTGAAAAATGAGTTCATTTGTAATTTCTGCATTAGCCTTTTTCATAATATATTTTATACCTTATTTTAAATTTACAATTATTCCTGATAACAAACTTTCTGAGAATGTCTGTATGCATTTTATACAGATACAAATTCTCTATTGTGCACTGTTTTATTTTCCCCCTTTTTTATTAGTAAAGACATTACCAATAAAATAGGCTTCCTTGCTCCAGCTGGTAATTTCTCAGTACTAGTAATATATTATTCCTCTTTTTGTGACATCATAATCATCTATACAGAAGTACCATGTATCTTTGTGTAGAAGCTACTGTTTCCATTAAATTTAATTACCTCCCCCTGTGGTTTTAAATAGAAGTGGCTTCAAAATGAGGGCAGCTTCTATTAAATTTAATTACTTTCTCCTGCTGCTTGCATGGTAAAAGGGAGGTTACTAAATGAGAGCAGCTTCTAAACTAGAGTATATGGTAACTGTAGAGGAGCAGTAAGGAAATTTTATATAAACCACTAGGAAGTCTCTCAAGGTTATCTTTCTCTTATTTTAACTTTTCTTAGCCTTAAAATCACACAAAATATCATTAAGATATAACGGAATACTAAAACTAAAATAAATTTTAGTTTTGTAAATAAAATAAAGGTAGACACTATTTGAAAATATTAACTGAACTCAAAGATTTAAGTTCACAACTTATGAAACTAGTATTTTTTTCTTGTACTAAGGATGATGACTTTTATTACATATTTTTAATATCTAGTAAAAATCTTTCTTGATTCTGATCAAATGTATTTAAAGTCTTTCACTGAAATTTATTTTAAAAGCCATCAAGTCTGGGGAGATTTGAGAGAAATACTCAAAAACAGTAATGTGAAGTTTTAAAAAAATCAGGCTCACTTATAAACACTGCATTTGAAAATAAGTTAATTATACGCTTTGTATTAATGTGAAAATCTAATTCACTTAAAATCTTATACTATAATCCTATAAAATATAATAGATGAAATTTTAAGTACCTCTTTTTAAATTCAATACTAAGAGAAGATACTGTTCAGTTAAGCCACCACTGTACAATGTTTATTTTTTTACATACCAGCAGAAGTTAGATGAACAATACTTTCATTCAATCAAACAGTTTAGTATAAATATAAAACAAGACACCCCTCAAGCATTTTAAGTAACAAATTAAACATTTACATTTTTTACTGTGCACTGAGGCTTAACATTTATGCAGCTTCAAAACCAAAGTACAGCCTCAAGGGAAGTCTCTCCACTGACAAATTAATACCTTAGAGAACAGAGCTGAATGGTGGCAATGAACTCATTTGTTCCCCCAATAATGAAGAATGACTTTTTCTTTACCACATCTGTGACTGTTGCTATGGTGACCCAGACTTACCTCATTGCTTCTCTGAGAGCTCCTCGCTCACCAAGAGTCGTGTGCTTGATGTCATCAAAATTATTTTCTAGCTTCTCACAATTCTGCAACACATTAAAAAATCACACTCATTCTCCAAAATCCTAAGAAAATTAGCTTTATGCAATTATTTTAAAATATAATTGATTATATTGATCATGGGTTTGTGAAAAATATGTACACTACTTTAATTGGATAGGATTCATTTAAATAGACAGTTGAACTAAAAAGCAACAAAATAAAAACGTCTTACGATAGTCTTTAGAGAAGTCTCTTTTAACCAGTCTTTCTAAATAGATATAAAGTATAAGTGCTACATAAAAGTAGGAAAACTTATAGTTTTGCAGAATAAAAATAGTTTTACAAAACCTTAAATACATCAAGGGTAATTTAAATTCAAAAGAGAAAAATCAATAAAGTAAATTTTAAGTGATAATGAATTATATATGATTATCTTGTTCTAAATTGGTTAGTATTGACCAAGATGAAAAGACAGAGTCCAGGTATAATATATGATAAAACTTTCAAATTTTATAATTACATTTTTATAAAACAACTTCAGTATGTATGTTGGTTACAATTGTGAAAATATATACATATGACCAATTCTTTCATATGTATATGAATACAACCAATTCATGAAATCAAGCAACAGTAATTCAAGTTCTTACAAGAATACTAAAATTAATTGAATATGCCCTAAATAAAAACTTCATGAATATTTTTATTTTCTATTAAATGTTTTCTAAGAATAGAAATTGTCTTAAAACTTTACTACAATTCTATATAGTTATATAATTAAATCTGATTTAATCTTACATTGAAAACATAAATTATTGTATTTTTACACCAAAATTGTAACTAGTTGAACCATTTGGCTCATAAGACTTCATGTGGAACTCAATATTTTTAGGCAATGAAGTAACATTAGTGTCTTAGTTAACTCACTAGACAGAAAACTAAATAATAAAATTTAAATGTCAATGTTTTATTTATATTCTTAAATTATAAATAAGTATGCAGGATTTTAGAAAATTACATAATTTAGGTTAAAGACTTTCAATGTGCAAGAATTAATCTTGACCTTTTTGTGACTTAGATCAGAGAAAAGACTTTTTTAAAACACATAGTCTTGCGCTTTTATTTTGAAAATTAACAAATTGATCTAAAATAATTTGAATTCTGGATTAAAAGTCCTTTGTTGGATATATACATTAAAAATATACTATTTCTCTGTCTTGTCTTTTCATTTTTTTATTATGTATATTTTCATAATTTCTTATATTTAGTGAGGCTCAATTTATATTTTTCTAATTTAAGATTAGTATTTCAATGTTCTATTAAAATTCTTTCAGAAAAATTTCAGTCATGAATACATTTCTCTGTATTTTCTAGGAATTTTATTGTTTTACACTTCACACTTAGATGAACAATTTACTTGAGATAACATTTACATATGGGTAAGAAAAAAAAATCACATGAAATAAATATTCAGTCAAATCAATTATCTTTATTGGAAAGTTCCTGTAAAATTTAGAGTTATAATTTTCCAAACATTAAATTGCAATGTATGTGTAGTTTATTTATGAAGTCTATTCTGTTCAAATGGTCCATTTTCCATACATGTTCCAGATCATGATATTTTAATTGCTGATATTCATAATAAATTTATCCTGCTAATAATTATAAAACTTAATTGTATCATCAATACAATTATCAATTGTAATTATATAATTAATATAGTAATTATATAACAATGAATATATGGGTAAACAACTTATACAAACATTATTTTTTAAAAATATCCAGGTCCAGGGATTTGGCTCAGTAGTTCTGCTGCCTACCTCATAAGCACAAAGTCCCGAGTTCAATCCCTGGTGCTTCTCCCCCCCAGAAAAGAAAATATCCAAATAATGAACGTTTAAAAGATACTTTTCATCATTAATCAGTAGTAAAATGCAAATCTAAGGCACAATAATATTCCATTACAGATTTTACAATATCTTAAGATAATGTAAGATCACACAATGTTGCTATAATTGTTTTCGTACAGAAATGAAATACTGCTGGTAGAGAGTTAAATTATCATAACTATTTTAAAATACTTTTTGATAGTAAAATTAATAATTGAACATTCAGATACATTTTATGACCTAACAGTCCAACACCTAGGAACACACAAAATAAATATATAATATGATCACCAAAAGTTATATACATAAACGTTAATACTAACACAATTCAAAATAGCCCCAAACTGGAAAATGGACAGTTATAAATTACAATGGAATATATAAATTATAATATATTCATACACTGGAAAACTACAGAGCAATGAGAATGAAGACATATTGCTATATAATACGAGTATACTTCACATAATACTGAGCAAAAGAATTGACACTCAAAAGAACTTACTCAAAATTATTCCATTTATATGAAGTTCAATAATAGGCAGAGCTTCAAAAATAATTCAAAATAAATTTAAGACAATTTCATTTACAAGAGAATCAAAAAATAAAAGCATACTTATGAATAAATTAAAAAAGTCAACAAATGTTATACACTAAAAGCTATAAAAATCACAAATAATAAAGACAACTTAAATAAATGAAAAGATACACCATGCTTATGGAGTGAAAGACAACATATTTTAAGAAATGCTACTTTCTAAATAGATCTAAAGTTTAAATGCAATTCCTATCAAAAAATTTTTTTCAGATTTTTGACAAGTTGATCCAAAACTTTATATGAAAACACAGGAGATGTAGAATAGCCAAAACACTCTTAAAATACAGAATAATGAAATTAAACTCTGGACTTCCCAATTTCAAAATTTACTACAAAACTGTAGCAAGTAACACTATTCTATTGGCATACGCATGCAAATACAGACTAGTGGAATAGAACTCAGACTCTGAAAATACGCCATTAAATTATCATTAATTTAATCTTGGTAAGGGAATGAAGACAACTCAGTCTTTGTAAATAGGGAAGTGTGGAGAGGGTGAAGGGCGGGCAGAGGAATGGGAAAAAATAAGAACCAAGATACATCATATAAAGGTACAAGATTTCAAAGAGGAATGTAACTATTGTATACCTAAAATGTACCAATAAGGAAAAACCTCAAAGATACAAATAAACAAACAGAAAAAAACAGAAGCAATGAAAAAAAAAGTCTTTTCAATAAATGGTGCTTTAACAACTAGACACACAGATTCAAACAAATACAGCCAGATTCCTGCCTCACAATGTATAAAATCAGTATGAAGTAGATCATGGGTCTGTGTAATAGATGAAATTTTAAAACATTTAAAGAAAATATAGGTTAAATTTTTGTGACTGTGGATTAAACAAAGATGTCATAATGTACAAGGAACCAAAAATTGGTAAATTATCATCATCAAAACTTACAAATTTTTGAGTTACTAAAATGTCTCTAAGAGAGTGAAAAGACAAATAGAATAAGATAGGAAAAATAGAAAAGGAGAAAATATTAGAAAACCATATAACTGGGAAAGGATTTTTAAAATCTGGAATATATAAAGAACTCTCACAACTCAATAAGAAGGCAATCTAATAATTTTAAACTAGCAAAGGTTTTGAACAATTTTCCAAGGAAGATATGAAAATGGCTAATAAACATTCAATGTCATTAGTCCTCAGAGTAAAGAAAATGAAAACCAGGAGGAGACATCACTTCCATCCAATGAGATAAGTCTAATAAAAAAAAAAAAGAATAGCAAATATTGGTGAGGATTTATACTAATTTGAATCCTAATACATTTTGACAAAAATGTAAAAAATGTGCACCCAACTTGAGAAAACAGTTCGGTACTGTCTTGAAATACTAAATATAGAGTCATGATCTCAACTAAATGAGTATAATCATAGTATAAGAGAAAATCTATCACATGACCAGCAATAACACTCTTATTATACTGAGTATAAAGAAATGAAAACATGTCCACACAAATGTTTATAGTAGCATTATTCATAACAGACACAAAATGGAAAATAAAAATTAATCAAATGACGAATAATGTGGTATGCTGATACCATGGTATTATTTACCTGTAAAAATCAAAGTTAAAATACATTTTGCAAAGCAGATAAGCCTTGAAACATTATGCTAAGTGGAAAATCCAGGTATCAATGGCCACATTTATAATTCCATTAATATGAAATGCCCTGCACAGACAAATCACTAGGAAGTAGATTAGTGATGTCAGGAGTTGGAGAGTGGGGAATCGGTAGTGACCTGAAATGGTAATAGAGTTTCGTCGAGGTGAGAAACAAATGTTCTAAAACTAGGTAGGGAATGAATTAGTGAATCTTCCTGCCTCAGCCTTTTGTTCCAATTTTAGTATATATTCTGCCAAGCGAGAACTCCCAGCCCTTGAGTGCTAGCGTTACAGGCACGTGCCATCGCAACCAGCTTGAAGTAATCATTTTTTTTTAAAGTTATACGCCCATAGATATTTACTGCAGCATTTTCAGGACAGTAAATTTTGGGGAAATAATAATTTTAAATATTGAAGAAATAGTTAAACAGGACTTTGGAGGGCGGCTGTGGATTAAACTCGGGCCCTTGAGCTTATGAGGCAGGAGGTGAAACCACTGAGCTAAATCCCTGGCCCCAAACAGGGGACATTTAATTTAAGGTTTGCATAGTAATTACAAATGCTATCTATGTGGATTTTTAACAGGCACACATGGAACTACAGTCTTTTTCAGAAAGATGCTACAAATCTGAAAATGCTGCATGACAGTACAATTATGGGAAAGAAGCAAAGCCAATAAAAAAGTGATTAGTAACTCATCTCTGAATATTGAATCATTATATTACTTTTTACTTCAATTTTTAGGTTTATCCAAATTTTCAGTAATGAGTTTATACTTTTTTATTTTAAAATTATTAAAATAAACAATTTTTGTTACTAGAAATGTTTGTATTTTCTGTATTGAAGTTGCTCCTTTCATAAAATGTATTACAATATAAATGCTAGCAATAAAATAATTTTTAGACAAATGACTTAATTTACTACATTAAATGTATATTTTA